TCTGATCCTTGAATCATGCGATCGAAATCCATTTCTTCGCGATCAGACTCAACTTGCTCCTTCCTTTAAACTTCCTTTCCTTTCTTTGATCCTTCAAAACATCGAAATGTAATCTTATCACATCATGTATTAAGAATTTCCAAATAGGAACTTAATAAAGTTAGATAGTGGATTTTTACCTGAAGCAGTTATACATCTTGACTCTCCCATTCTTAGATCTCTCAGGTAGTTAGGGCAGCTTCGTAACCAATGCCCCTTCTTTTGGCAGTAGACACACATGGATTCTTATGGAATGGTACACATGACTATCTCAGACTCAGCCTTTCTCTTGCGTAGAGAAAATTTTTCTGGACCTCCAATGTTACCATTGCCCATAGAGGGTTGGGATATTGATTTACCAGACAAATTTGCTGACCAGTGCGCCAAATCATTTCTGATTCAGCAACAATAAGCAAATAAGTCAAATCAATAAGGGTCATGTCGTGTTCCATCATATAGTACTCTCTAACGAACTTACCATATGATTCGGGAAGTGACTGAAGAACCAAGTCAAAAACCAACTTCCTTTAAACATCGACACCTAACAATCCCAATCTATCAATATGTAACATTTTGTCCAAGACATGAGCACAAATAGACTTTCCATTTTCATGTCTTTTGCCAATAGGGCTTGAGTGACCTTGAACTTTTCAAGTCTTCGAACACGTGGGTTAGGAAAAATTATTGGAGAAAGTGGAGGAAATGAAGCATGATTTCCATTTCCACAATACAATCGTGGAACATCATCTTCATGTGGAAAACTTTTTCCAACGGATTTAGGAAGACCATAGTTGTCAGACTTTGACATCTATGAAACGGGAGAAAATTCAAGTTTAGTTGATTGAGTCCTTAATAAAACACCCAAATGAGATATTAAGGCTAGGACCCAACATAATATCCTACAAATTGGAAGAGGGATGTCGTAATCCAACTCGCAGAACATTTGAAGGTAGGTAAATGACGATTTACCAATTTCCACCATGAAAAACGAAAAGAAAGTTAAGTTTTAAATGAATTGAAACTCCTAGATCTTTTGAGATTCATTGAACTTTTCAATGTCATGTTTAATCTCGATTATGCCCTTCATTTGTGACTGGGATGCCGAGGATCACAAATAAGGTGTGAATGACCATGCGAATGTACGTGGTGCCCTCAATGTTACAGTCACCTAATCGACGTGCCGGTTAACCACACATGCTCCATCGATCTATAACAAACATCGAGTCACCCTTCGCTACCAATGCCAAACCCAACTTAGTGTGCCAGTTAACCACACACGCTCCACTAATTGTCTCGACAAGGGTACAAAGTGTAATTCCATGGAATTGCATCGATTTCACTTTTTCCTAAAGTAACTAAGATTGAGAATTTTGTAAAAACATTTAGTTACTTTATCATTCATTATACTTTTAATGAGGAGAGAGTTTGCCCTATCCTACCCGTTCGGCTAACGACCCTCCACCAATCAAGGGAGCGGTGGGTGAGAATGGACACCTATTAAACGGCCATTATATAGGCCATAACCTTATACCCCCCTTATAGATCGGTTTCGTGAATGAGGTCTATTAACGGTAAGACTAGCATTTAAGTTATACATATATAATATTAGACGTTTAATGTTATATATAGTATATGGTGTATTTTACACTTTTAAATACTAGGTGGTTTAATTTTATAAATTACACTTTTAATTTAATATAAACTATATCATTTTGGATTTATTAACTCTCTTTTAATTATACTTTTAATTAACTTAATAAAACCTTAAGGGGTAATTTGAACTTTTCAAAACTTAGGGTTTTAGAATTTAAATATTACATAATTAAACTATTAATCAAAAAAAAAAATTTAAATTCCAAAACTTGAGGACAAGTTTTGAACTTTTCAAAACATTATGGTTTAACTATTTAAATTTCAAAACCTAAACTATTAAGTTGAAATTTAAAACTATGAAACCTAAAGGGTGAAAATTGAAACTTTTTCAAACTTTATCAAGAACATTCTAGATCAACAATTCAAATAAGGCAGTTAACAATTAATTTGTGGTTATCTAATTTTGACCTAGTCCAATTACTTGCAATATAATTCACCAAATAACTTAAATAATTAAACATTATCTTATAAGACAACAATTATTTGATTAAATGGCAATTATCTACTATTTTGGCAAGGATATTCACCCAAAATCAATAAAAATCGGGATTTTACTAATTAAAAACGTTTATGGTAAGTATCCTAAGCCAAAACAGCAAGAAAATCGCGAAAATACGCTGCCAAACCATTTGACTCGTTGAGTCTGGCCTGGACTCGTCGAGTTTAGTCGACTCGGCGAGTTCACCATATGACTCGACGAGTCAAACCCTTTAAAGCCAAAATTTTTTGATTTTCAGTCATAATTCGATCAAATATGCATCAAATTCATCAACAAACAGCCCTAGGCTCTGATACCACTGATGGGTTTTGAGCACTACAACATTCCCATGGTGTACATGCAAACCCTAAAGCTTTGGATCTAGTTTGTCTAATGAACATGCAATAATCATCCAAAGCCATAAACCCTAGATCTAGCATGTGATAATCGAATAACATATGAATTAGGGTTTAGATCTTACCTTGATTTGTTATGTACCAATAACAATCTCAATTCCTTCTTGTAATTGGATTCTGAAAGCTTAGTGTTACAAGTGTCACACCTCTAATGGAGTCACAAACACCATAAGCAATAAGGATGAAGAAGGAGGAGAGAGAAGACACCAAAAACGTCTAGAAACCCTAAGGAATCAGTTGGCCACGTTTTTGGTGCCCTAGGGGTCCTTAAATATGTGAGGCTATTAGGGTTTTGAACTAGGAAACCCTAATCTGACTGCTTAGGCCCTAAGCAGCCCATGGACTCCTCCTTTAGAGGCCTTGGACGAATTCTAATGGGTTTCCCCATAGATTTCGTCCACTCCATCCTCTATGGAGTCCATTAGCCCAATATCCAACTATCACACAATTGACAGTTCTAGTCCCCTTTATTTAATTAATGTCTTTTAGCCACAAAATTAATTCTGATTAATTCTTGACTATTATTAATTAAATAATATGATTTCTCTCTTAATATATTATTCATATAATATCTTAATAAATCATAATTAATCTCTTTCTCCATAAATCATCCTATCAAGTTGTTTTGGTGAAGGTAACCCAAAAGGTCCATGCTCGCAATCGGGTCAAGTACATACCAAAATAGTTATGAGCTTAGACACTAATACAACAATTAATTCAAATGGTGACAACGACATACTAGGGACCAAAAAAAAACGAAAATGCCCTCACATGGAGGGCACGTGATGGGCCTAATGGTTCTAAGGAAACGGAAGGAGACAAAATTAACTAAAACCATAGAAAAATCTTGCTTTTGAATCTTTCATACAAGTTTGAAACCTTTTGGACCATATTCATAATTTTTTGAATAACACATGGACCAATTTTAGAGTTTTATCTATTATATACTATATAATATATTTGCATATTCATTTCAATTTCAATTAAACATGTTATAACCTAAATCAAAGTCTTACCATAACTAAGGTAGTGTTTGTTTTTTGTCTGCAGATCTGCGTGACCTCTTCTGTCTGCGCCGCGCAAACCACGTGCAGACATTAGCCTTCGCAGACTGTTTGTTTTTTTGAAGACTGCAGACCTAAAAATTTCTGCGCGCCCTCTTCTTGGCGCAGATGTGGACCAGAGTCTTCTAACATCTTCAGACATCTTCTAGCCTAAAAAAACATATACATCTTTATTTTTTAAAGTTTTTTTTAATTTATATTTTTTCCAACTTTATTAATGATAAACAATTTGAAAAAAAAATTACAAAACTTAAAAAAAAAACGTTCGACGATACAAACATTATATTTTTGACAAATTTATAAATAAATATTTATTACAATAATAATCGTTGAAGTTTTTTATATAAATATGAAAAAAAATCATAATATATTCTTATATTTTTTTGCCAAATTTTGTAAAACATTATTTAATACAGTATCGTCAATTTCTCGAGAAAATATTTATGGTATGTTTTTAATGGATTTAATTATAACTTTGATCACTAATTATAATGTTTAGTTATAACTTTGCAACCAAAGTTGATTTTTATCAAATATATACATTAATTATACCATTTTTATTTTTATTTTTTATACAATAATACATAAAAGTTGATCTAATTATAACTTTGATCACTAATTATAATGTTTAGTTATAACTTTGCAACCAAAGTTGGTTTTTATCAAATATATACATTAATTCATACCATTTTTATTTTTATTTTTTATACAATAATACATAAAAGTTGATATAGATTCGTTAATTATTTATAACAAAGTCATAAAAATATTAAAAAATCACTTTGAAGTTTAAAAAAATTAGTTTATTTAGATTTCAGTTTATTTTAGTAGCCCACAGATGTTAAAAAAACAAACAGTCTTTTTTTTTCAGACTGCAGACGTTTGGTCCACCTCTTCTACTGCAGAGGTCTACAGATGTGGTCCGCAGACTTCAGACATTTTGCCTCAGAAAAAATAAACAGCACCTAAGGGCATCTCCAACCCACCCCCAAACTCCATTTCTTTCCCATTCTTCTCCAACCCCTACCCCTAATTATAATTTAAATGCAATATTTAATATTTATAATATCATGTTATATATTAATTTATATTAATCAATCATAAATATAGAGTTTAATTAGTAGAGGGGTGTATTTGGCAATATATATAGGTTATAAAAATGGAATATTTTAGGAATATAAAATGGGGTATAAAATGGAGTAGGGTCGGAGATGAAACACTATTTACTCTATTTTTTACTCCATTAGAGAAAAAATTGAAGATGAGTTGGAGATGGTCTAAGCCGTTACTTATTTATTTGGGTTGAACTTCGGGTCATCCGATTTGTGGTAGGACATTTCTTGAGCAAGCATGGTAGGACATAGGTTGGTTCTTTATAGCAGGTAGTACTCGGTACATTTTCTCTATTCGTTGATGTTCAATTGAACCTTTCTATTAGCATATGCTGTTCTCCATTCTCATCCTAGATTCAATCCTCTCCCATTTCGTCAATCTGTTCAATAACCCGAAATTAGGGTTTATTTCTTTATTCTAATTTGAAATCAATGGCTTGTTGTTCGATTCAATCCATTGTTCCTTCGGTTTCTGCTTTATCATCTTCCTCCCTGTCTTATTCTTCTGTAATTGTTTTGCCTGTAAACTATGCCAAGTTCCCCCATAGAAATCTCAAAAGAAATCGTAAGAAATTTGAAGTTTGCAGAGCAATGGTGCAGCAGACCACGGTTCAGGGAGCTTCTGCTACTTACGCTAAGGAAATGGAGAGACTTTCTGCCAAAGAATCGTTACTCCTCGCTGTCAGTTTTCAGCAACCTTCTTCTATTGGTTTATTTAATTTCGAGAATTGGACCTGATAAATGTATGGTACAAATGCTTGATTTTTACAATTTTCATGATTTTTTTGGTGGTTGTAGTCTCTAGATAAAGCTAATTGGTTTGATTTTGCCTTGATAAGTAGAGTTACTATCTAATTGAGTTATGCATAATTGTGAAGATCACTTATCTGGTACTAAGAGCAAATCTAGTTGAGTTCTCATCAAAATCATACACTATCAATCTATCATAATAATAAGCAGTTAATTCTTTTATTTCCATCTATCTTCCAACTGCAGAATAGATGCTTTTCATCCTCACTGTTTGTGTTATTTAAGTGCTTTTTCCTGAAAAAGCTCTTTGTATCCTCTACAATAAGAGAGCTTTTTCCATTTGATTACCAATGTTTTGTTTCTCTAATTAGCAAACGTCTTGAAAAAGCTCCTCCAATAGCTTTTTGGCTTGAAAAAGCTCCCATTGTTGGATGCTCTAGAATCAAACTTGATTGATTAAAGTAGATAACAGTAGTGTAGAACAATATCATAAAAACCCTAGCCAACAGTTGGATTGAAGCTTTCTTTCTACAAATATTTGAACTTTCTATTCCAGTTCAAAGATGCTGGAGGATTTGAGGCACTAATTGGTGGAAAGACATCAGATATGCAAAAAATCGATGTGAATGAGAGAATTGTTGGCCTTGAACGCCTTAATCCAACACCACGTCCAACAACGTAATCATAATTACTTTTAATAAACATTTATTACCTTCAAAAATCATCCAAATTGTATAAATTACTTTATTATTATTATCAGGTCACCATTTCTTGAAGGCAGATGGAACTTTGAGTGGATCGGATATGGAAGCCCTGGATTATTTGCTGCCAGATTATTATCCGAGTGACTAACTGTTTATTAATTATTAATTAACTCTAAATATGTTTCTATATTCTTAAGTTAATATTTTTTTCATCATATATGTTACGTAGGAGATTTCCTACATCAATAGCAAATATGAGTAAGATGGATGTGGTGATTAAGGATGGATATGCCAAAATTACTGCAAATATGAAATTTCTGAATGCGGTAACAAAATATATTATTGTAAATTGTTATCTTATATTATTATATATAATATATGATTTATGAATATGCACTGCAGATAGAAAACAAGTTTATTATAAGCACAAAGTTAACAGTTGAAGGGCCACTTAGAATAAAAGAAGAATATACAGAAGGAGTCCTTGAAACTCCAACAGTTGATGAAGGGACAATTCCAGAACAACTAAAAGGGGCTTTAACTCAAGCACTTAACACCATGCAACAACTTCCATCTCCAATTAAAGATGCTGTTTCAAGTGGATTAAGACTTCCCCTAAGTCAGTTTTCTTCATCTTATTCCCTATTAATTCTTTTTCTTTTCCTAAGTCTGAATGAATGAATGAATGATTCAGATGGGGCTTTTCAGAGGATGTTTATGATTTCTTATCTTGATGAAGAGATCCTAGTAAGTTCTTTGCAGATATATACTTATATTGTAATTGTTATTTTACATTTAAAAGATATTTATAAGTGGAGTTTGTGTTTGTTCAGATATTAAGAGACACAAGTGGGGTCCCGGAAGTTCTTACGAGATTGGATGTGGATCAATCTCCTATTGATCCTATTCAAGAGTACGAGAGTTGACCGAGTCAACATAAATAATGCAAGGATGAAAGATAATGATGCTTTACATATGTGGTATTATTGTAAACCAACACTATTACTATTAGGTCATAAACCTTTTATGTTTTTTTAACAAAATGTATGTACAAGTCGTTGAGTTGGAAATTTGTGCAAAATGGATATAAATTTGGTTGAAATTTACTTTTTTTTTTCTTGTAAAAATAGCTTAAACTGCAAAAAGTAAATCACTAAAAAAGAAGTTAGTACTTAGTATGTGGCATGGTGATATACTTGATGAATTCGAATCTAATGAATTTTGTTGGTCATGAAAAATAGATACCATGACGCTTTAAGATAGGCATTATAATTTGACACATTATTTGATTATTTTATCATATAAATTACTTTTCCAACTCTATATTTGTAGTATCAATGTAAAATGTAAATCAATAATTGCATTTGTTAAATTAAATAAGAAACAGTACCAAACTATTAGGAACTAGAAATGTCCGCTGAATTCCATAGATCATACATAAATCAATTTGCTAGTTGTACTCAATATTCATGACAACCTTAGCATCCAGGATGAATTTAAGATGATATGGTGAAAAGTTATTTTTTTTATATATAATTTCGTCTTGTTACAAAACATCAACTTTAACAAGCAAAAAGTTAAAAAAAAAATAAAGAAAAACAAATACACTCATATTATAGATACACATCTATACATATATTACTAGCTATAATTGGTTAAAAATAAATAAAAAAGAGTCTACACATCAAGGTTATTCCATGATTTAACTGAGTTAAACGATAAATCAAATAATATTCATGAAAATTACTTTACTATATTTCGGATCCAAGTGAAGCAACTATGTATCAATATAATCTCTTGTTTTCCCTCTTGCACAATTGTGTTTATTATGTTTGGGCCGGCCCATCGTGGATTATCAACGGAGTAAATTGCTACCACTAACGTCGTCATATTTCAAGGGAGTAAGCTTCGATTATTGCCACGTGTCAGGTCATCAGGTACGTGTCAGTTTAGAGCTCCCACGTGTCAAACGTATGTTCGTCACTTCATCTCCATCGTCGAACCGTCCTCATATATTGTACACGTACTGCATTCCTCAATCAACCATTTACACAGAAACCAAGTAAACCTGAAGGAAGATTAACATAACATAAAGTACGTACAGATAACAGTTGCAGGCCATGAAGGAAACGGCGGCGAACATCGCCGCGTCGGCGCTGTCAGGAATGGAGAAGACGAAGGCGGTGTTAGAAGAGAAGGTTGAGAAGATCAGTACGAGTGATCCAATCGAAAAAGACATGGCTACGTTAAGGAAAGAAGACAGGATCAGGCTGGCTGAGCTCCGGAAACAAGAGGCTTTTTCCCAAAACGCCGCCGCCGCTAGTGGTGGTCCTAATAGTCCCACTTTCACTGCAGCTGGTCACGTTAACACTGAGAAGAACCCTTTTCAGAAACCCACTGCTGGTGTTAAAAACACAGATAAACCGGTGGCGCCGGTGCAGCAGAGCCACGGTGCAACCCTAGAAAAAGCAACGCCAGCGGTGCAACCTGCAATGTCGACCTAGATCTAGTCTGGCTGACATCGATCGATCATTGATAGAAGGATCAAGATTCAAGAGTGTTGGATATGGAACTTTTTCAAATGGTTTTATTTTTGTTTCTGAAAACTAGCTGCTCTCCTCATTGTAATTGTGATATGCATGATCTATAAATCAAGGTTTTTCTATTTTTATAAACCAATTCTTTATTCTAATATATATGAATGGGTTCTATGCGCCTATGGATGTGTAAAGAAAAACAAGATATGTTTGTTACAAGCGTAATTAATTATCGGTTAAAATTAAGGACAGACATGTAAGCTTATGGCCTTAGGTTGGAAACTACCTATTGTCACCATCTCTCAAATGATCTAAAGGGTATTTATGTAAATTAGCATGAAGGGTATAACTGTAATTTATGATTCAGATAGTTAGAGATGTTGATCCTAGTTGGTTAGTCAGTTAGAAGTTTTGATTCCTGTATAAAATGTAATAAGCTCTATATGGAGAAGTTTAGTTAATGAAAAGTTCATAGTGTTTTCTCTCACTTTCGATCATAAAAACTAACACCTATAATAGAAATGAACCTTTGATTTATATTGAGCTCGGTAAAAGAAATATTGGTTTTGTCTCTTGCATAAAACATCTTATGTGTCACATGATTGTTATTATCACCTAGAGGACCAAGTATGTTGCTATTGCAGGTAATGAAATGAACCTATATTGTTATTATAGGTAATGAAATAAAAGTACACTGTTATTATGGGCCGGTAAATTCTTTGTGTTTACCATATTATTCTCTTATTCTTCTAAACCTTTGAAAATGTGAAAATTAGATCGAATAAAAAGATGTTATATAATGAATTTTAGTCTGTAATGGTTCCAGAATGATCACTATTGGTCGTTCTCACCATATGCATCCAAATCTTTAAGAGGGAAATTTGTGTTTTGTTCTAAGGTCTAGCAGTTATTGATGAATTCTTTGCCTTCATATGCCGCCTGTGACTTTATGTTGGACCTTTTTTTGCTCTCTAATGCATTTTCTTTTTCGCGCACCGACTAATTCGCTGTTGCAAACATGAGGCCACTCTCCTTATGCCCTGGAGTCCCTGCAGGCGAACCTTCATGGCCACAGAGACTGAATAGTGTCAAGATCTGAACATGGATCAATAGGTTATCTACCATATTTTCCACATGTTTTATTTATCAAGTCACTAGATTGGTAATGGGAATTTTAGTTTTGAATGTTGATGGAGAGACTACACTTGCCCCATACTAGGTATATTTCTTTCTGATTGACTCGGTTATGTTTGTATAAGTTTTCTTAACTTGCTTATTCAATGTATAACCTATATCTATTATAATATAATGAAAAGACTAATTTTTCTTTAAGAAAAGATATAAAATTGATTGTATGTATGTGGGAATTTTAGATGGACTTTTGGTGATTACTAATTTAAGAAAACTAACTAGCTAGTACGCACATTTAATGTTTTCTTATGCAGTTTGAGAAGTGCTGTGCATTATCGTCTTCTTCTTCCTCATTAGTAAATATGTTTCTATAAAGATAAATATTTGTTTACTCAGTTTACCAAAAATTTGTCACCTGACAACTTTAACTGAATCATAAGATGTCGATCCTCCTTTCATGTAGTTTTGAGAATTGAAGTGCATATGTCAGGGTAGAAGGACATGGTCTTATGTTGGAAGTTATTTGTTAGGTTGACGATCGACGCAAATATACATCTATGATTAATTATTAGTCAGGTACATTTACGTTGCAGATCTTGCACTTCCCCTCATGGTATTGAGTTTTTGTATCATATTATCGAATCAAGAAAACAATGTTTATTTGGTGCAGAAATTATGAAAATGGTGCTGAATGCTTCAAGCACAATACCACTTGAGTGCCTAACGAAGAGGTAAACATGTATGCTACCAGGGGTGAGCAAAACCGAACCCGGAAACCGAAAAACCGACAAAACCGAAACCGAAGCATAAACCGATGGTTTGGGTTTAGTTTTTTCAAAAACCGAAAATTTTGGTTTTGGTTCGGTTTTTGGGTTTGGTAAAACCGATAGAAACCGAACCGAAACCGATTATACTAAATGTTTATAAAAATACATATTTTTATACATAATATAGATATATTTTGCGTAATTATAACGAAAGAAGCAAAATTTTCAGGTGGTTAACGCTTTGGCTTTTTGAACCAAAGCTCCCAGGTTCGAAACTTGTTAGCTACACTCTTGATTTGTTTTTCTCAACGACTTATATGTATCCCACATCGTTGGATTATTGAAACCCAACCCTTTATAAAACGTTTCTCAAAATCACAATTGATTCCACATCGACATTTCTCAAAATCACAATTGATCCCACATCGACAATGGGATCGAAATTCAGTGCCTTTTGGTGCTTATATAAGATTGTTTCATAATTGACTTGATTCAAAGATATCCAAACGGGTAAAACCCGGAACCCAACCCAAATAATCGGAAACCAAATGGGGAACCAGAAACCGAACCCATCGGTTTTGGGTTAGGTTATAGTTTTTTAAAAACCGACAAGTCGGTTTTGGGTTCGGTTTTACCTCAAAACCGACCCAACCCGGCCCATGCTCACCCCTACATGCTACCAGATGCTTCAAGTATAACATCATTAGATAGTAAAATGGCAGTAAAAATATAAAAATAATGCCAAATGTTTTAAGAACGAAAGGCATGAAAAAAAAAATGTGAAAATGACGCAAGATGCTCCGTTTAAGGTAATTTTACTTTCTTACAACTATCTTTGGAAATATTCTCATGACGATGAAATGTATATGATCATTTTTTTGATTATAAGTATAAGATTTACTCAATTCAACATACATTTACGAGATGTAATATGATAACTTCTATATGTATTATTGAAATTCCCTTTATTGACCCTTGCTATTTTATTTATATTTTATAATAGTTTTTATTGACATTTTGCATCATATTTTATGTTTTTTTCATGTGTATTAGTATAAATAATGTTCAGCTCATGTTTATCGTCAGAATTCTCGTACTGCTCATGTTTTTATGTCGTTTTCAGATATTTCGAGTGAGTAGTATTCTGGGAGTTTTTGGGAGTAGCTTGGATGCATATTTAGAGCTTCATGGAGCTAAAATACATGAGGAAGCTGGAGCCCAGGTTGGATTTGCTGGAATTGAAGAGCTCGTGGCCAAAACATGCGTTTTATGAAAAATGTGATTGTGCTTCTCACCAAAATACGATCGTATTTGTGCTTCAAGGATTTGCTGGACCAAAAATCAATCTTAAGAGTGTCCAAAATAGCATCATGCTTCATTAAATGTGAAAAACGGAAATTTTTGGGACTTCGAAGGAAAAATACGATCACACTTTTCCTAAAAATGTGATCACATTTATCCTAAAAATGCGATCACATTTTTTTTATAAAAAAATCGGGTTTTTTTTTTGTTGCCGGTTCATATATAAATGCTACCTCTCTGATCAGTTAGAACCCTAGACCTTCCCAAACGATGAAAACAACGTCTGAAGGCAATTTTATGCATTTTTTCATCACTTCTTGAAGATCTGCAGGTTGTGGATCATCTCATT